ACATCTCAACAGTGAGCATGCGCTGGACGATAGAAGTACAGCTCAATGTAGAGTACAAATGCAGGTTGTACAGCAATTAGAGCTACAGGTAAAACCAAATTTATTTTTAATATTACCTCAGTATTCCTCAAATTCCAAATTTCTGTAGTGTTCTGAAATGAGTTCCTGTGTACTCATTATTGAATGGAAGGTCCAAAACCTGTTGTTGTCCTTTCTTTTCTTTTCTTTTTCACTCTTCGGGAATGTTCACCTTCAGTTCCTTCTTTGGAACTGCCGCTCAGACGTTTCAAAGTCCTGTGCATCTCTGTGTATGCCGCGAACTCCCCACTACCTCTGTTAGCTTTCCATTTCTCTCTCGCTTCCCCTCCCTTTTGTCTTCTCCTGCAAGTGGGAAACGCTCTAAGTTAAAAACTTCAGTTGCCTGTTGTTAATGTAAGCCCCCTAACTTGCCATGATCCCTAACCTGGAGCTAGGCAGCCGAGCCAGGGAGAGAGACTGAGAGACAATGGATGGGGATGGAAGGCACATGGGAGCATCAGCAAGACTGGGCCAGTACGCACGCATGCACGCCCGTGAGCATGCTGTCTGAGGTTAAGGTAGAAGCTGCATGTGGATTTATTCCTCCTGTCAGTGCACACAATTTAAATATTTTAAATATGCACACAAATGCATACAGGCACGTATTGAGATATATATATATATGTATATATATATAATGTATGTATAATGTTAGACATTATATATATATATCTCATATATATAATATATACATATCACACACACACACACACACACACACATATATATAATCTTATTTTTGGCAGTTTGTTGGGCCATGTTGAATGTATTTTGTGACTATAGAAAATAAACGTCTGCAGATTTTCCTGGGGATCACAGTTGTGAGGGATGGGGGCCATTTTTAAATGTGGGTTCCACTTTTGATGTCACTTGTTGACGGACCACCATATTTTAACAATAATTCCCTTCTTGGTATAATTAATAGAAAATTAGTTTCTAAAAGTAAAAATTGGGTCAGAAATGGAGATTATTAAAATGTACAATTGCAAAAGCCTGACCCTGCAAACCCCATTTATGCAACCGAGTTCCAAAATGCTTTTGAGTGCTTGATGACCCACTGTGGCGTCTTCCTCTGGCTGGTTTAGTGTAGGCAAGAGGCTAGCCGACTAGGGGAAATTAAAACAATGTTGTACATTATATTGCTACCAGCCATCGAAAAGCCTATTTTGTATGCAAGACAGCAATGCCGAGATATATGGAGAGCCCTAGGCTAAGTACAGAAGATAATTACATTTGGAATTTTACTGAGTTAAGTCATTTACAGCTTCAAATAGTTGCAGAGAAAAATCAGCCAAAACACACTTAAACTTTTTGTTGTGACTTTTCAGGATAGAGAGGATTTTTTTAAATTAGTTATCATCTTATATGACAAATTACATTTTTTAAGTAAGATTGTCTCAAAAGTTATTTTCTTTAGCTAGTTAATATTTTTCCATTCACACTACAAGATAAGAACTTACCAGAACAGTGGGATATTCATACAGGCTAAGGGCACGTCATAAAATCCCCAAATTTTTACATAACTCTTTGGAAACATCTTTAAATTTAGCACGCTTATTCAGAAGCAAAACAATAGTGTTATTTATCTCCCCACCAAAGTTCACTTCTTACTGATGTGTGATAAGCCCTTTAAAAATTGGTTTCAACAGAACAAACCATATGGCTATTACTACCTAAATCTTTACGTAGTGGTGGTTACGAAGTGATACAAGTTCCTGCATTTATTCAGTGGATAAACTTAAATTCTTAATGTTCAGCTAGAATAAAGTGTTCGACTGAGTGTCATGGTTTGCCCCAGTAACTGTTCCAGAGTCCGGATTTGACTGTGGGGCCATTGTTCATTACTCCGAAACTGATGATCTACTTTATTCATTATTCCTCACTCTCCCTCCCCAAGAGCTGGCAAGAGAAGGAAAGGAGTTAGACCATCAGTAAGTCAAGTGGTTATCTCCTGGCAGCTTTCTTGTTTTTTGGTGGGTGTGGCTTGGCGATGTTATAGACCTTTTAAGAGGATTCTTTGATTATTTGTGGATTTCATTTGTTCATAGATTTCCCTTCATCCTTCAGCCCTAAATCCAATCAAAGGCAGAGTTTTCAACTTGTGATAGGAACCAAAGAAGATCATGTGGCCAGAAGTTACTATGTGGTAGTTACCTGTGATAGTCCTTGTAATATTTTTTGCTTCAGAGTTTGCTCTCATGGAGGAAGAGACGGGGTCATTCTGAAGGGTTTGGTTTCTTCACAGGTTGAGGGATTCGTTAGAGTGATAGACTGGTGCTTGTCAAGAGCCAGAGTTGGCAAACCACAGATCATGAGCCAAATCCCCAGAGCTAACAGAGGTTTTTACATTTTGAATAGCTGGGAGGGAGGGATCCAAAGAAGAATAAATTATGTGAAATTCAGATTTCATTGTCCATACGTAAGATTGTACTGGAACACTTGTTCGTTGACGAGTTATCTCTGGGTGCTTTTGCACCACAGCAGAACATTTGTATAGGTGCAACAGAGTCCTGTGGCCTGCAGAGCTGAAAATATTTACTGTCCGGCTGATTCGCACAGAAGTATACCAAACAATCCCTGCTCAGGAGGATTAAAAAAAAAAAAAAAACAATTTGCATCATATTATTTGCAACTTGTTCCCTTAGGGTCTCGGCTACCTAAAGGCCGGCTAACCCCTTGTTACATGTTCCTTCTTTGTCTTAGTGTATAAAACCATTCTAGTCACCACACTGGTCCAGTTTGCCCAGCAGCAGCTTCATATAACAAGTACTTGTCAGTCTTGGGGATCATGGTAAGCAGGCTGATGGATATTCATTCATTTATCCGCTCATCTACCAATTCATTTGGCAAACATCATCCAGAGCCTGGATGGCAGAAACGTTGGCAGAACATGGCAGAACATGGCAGAAACACGGCAGAAACGTTGCTGAAGCCAGTAAAGGGTACAACACTGAAGGAAGTAAGGCTACCCTCCTGGTTTTTACATTTCAGAGGAAAAACAGACTGTAAATAAGTAATTTGCCAGTGGCAATGTCCACTCCTTGGGTAGAGCTAGCTAATGTTGATGGATTCTTGAAAATACCGGAAACGTGCTCAGAAGAGAGTTTCGGTGCTAGAGAGGGGAGGAACCGGAATAGATTAGTTATTATTCAAGCAGATGAAATATACAAGACAATGTTAACAGGTTTAGCAGTTAAAGACCCCTCACCCTGAGATAAAGCTGAAATGCGGGACAGTTGGGGACAAGGAGACAATTATACTCAGTAGCTACACTCATTGTGGGCTTCCTATTACTCTCGTGTCCAGCATGTCTGTGTTTGTGCTGTCACGTTTGCCATTTCATGTGCCCATGTCTGGAATGTACTTTTTAATTGACGTAATGAACAGTTGCGTGTCCACTGGGACTGAGGTGTTGGGGAAACCAGGTCCCTGCAGCAGCAAGAATATGTTGAAGAGGTGTCCTTTTGCTTGAACGGCCTTCCCCTCTTATTTCCTGTTGGCATCGTCCCCCTATTCTGTCAACAGCACGCTAACGAATCACCCCATCTAGAGGGGGTGCCCTGTACATGACCAACTCCTTGACTACTTGCATTTGCCTTAAAGAAGGCATTTTCCAGACCAGGAAATACCTGCACCTCCAAGTATCCAAGTATATTACAGAATTATCATTTATTAACTTGAATTTGAAAAACATTTGTACCACTTAGCACCTCAGGAAAGAGTAATAGAGGTTTGAACAATTACCCACAGGTGTTCCCCATACTGTAGGAGGAGCAGGTCTACAGCCCCTACTACCCAGACCTGCAAGGACTTTGCACAGCAGTACTTAGAGAGAATTACTGTGATGTTTACATCTGGAAGAGGAGTCACATGTGTACCTCCATTAGAAAAACAAGCCCAATAAGCTCACGTTGGTTCTTACATCATAGATCAGTGGAGGTTCATCAGGTCTACCCTAGAGCATCGCTGTGCAAGGATCCCACAGGAGAGTTCTGGAGGGCACCATCAGCCAGCACCAGACATGACCAAAGCTAATGAAAGCCACTTGAGTGCTGTCCATTTTTAGCCCCCTGGAGCTAAACCCCAGAAACCATAACTCTGACCCAAAACCAAAGGCCCAGTTTGTGAGCTGAAATCAACCTCTCCTAAAGAATTAGATGAAAAAAACATTTTTTTTTTTATAACTATCGTTAGTCTCAGGGGATCGTGGCTACAGACGTTTCCTTTCTTGGTGCTGTCTGTACAACACTCTACTTGAATCACCTGAAAAGCCTTTACAATTCCAATGTTGAGAGTTAAGGCAACCAGGCAGAAATCAAGGTGACGGGCAATGAAGTCTGACTTAGACCCATCCCATCAGCATTGTGTGTGAGCCACATTTGTATTGCTTTTATTTTTGTGGGAAGTTACCAAAACATATAATACGTGTTTTCCTGGCGGTGGGCCCGTTATGTGGAGCTTGACAACCGAGAATGTCTAGTTAATTCAGTTCGCATGTTACACTCTGTTACTGGTCTCAGAGGGGAGAGGGGTCAAAAAGACATCTTAGTGGGCGTTGTAGGCCTTTCGGAATATTTCTCACCACATTTCATTATTACAAAGTCAGTTGAAATTTTTGAATTTTAGCAGTGGGCTAGATGGTGATTAACCCCGTGTATACCTCGGAGCCCAACATTGTAGAGAATTGGTAACCACACATAGGCACCTAACATCAATCATGCGGGTGAAGGACATGGCTTTTTGAGGCGAGGGCGTGTCTTTTAAGATTTTATCTGTTAGATGCTTTCTTTTGACACACTCTTCTTGATGCTCTGCCGACAAGGGGATAGGTTAGAACTGCAGATGGAAGATGTTCCCATAATCGATATGCGTGGTCTTACATAGGTCATGAATGTGCACACAGAACACGGGAGCATAGACACAGGGTCTGGAAGTAATGTTGAGGTGAGGAATTGCCCACCCATATGCCACGGGCAGGACTGTAAAGAGGGACCTGAGGCTTCCTTGATA